ACAGTCGCCAGTCCATCGCAGGGCAACAATAAAGCTCCAATCTGTTGTTATTATTAAGAACTAATTATCTGGTTTTTGATCAGTCTTTAAAATATGATTTTAACAAATATTGTTATTTTTTTTGAAAAAAAAAAGCTAATCTGACTTCCTTCTCAGTTCTTCAAGTTAAACCTGTTTTTAAACATAAAAGAGAAACCTCCAGAGGTACCAGAACCAGGCTGAGTGTAAGCAGTCATCTGATGAGGTCGTGTGGGGTTCAAGGAGACAGAAGAAAATCCAGACTGAACAGTGATATCATTGCATCATCGCGTTTAGAATGGTTTTCACCCATTTTTGCCTTCTTATTTCTTCTAGGTTAGTTGTGTATTTACTAGATAAGTTAAGAGTTTATTTTAAAGAAATATGTTTAACCCAGAATTAAGTTATTATTATTATTATTATTATTATTAAAAAAATATATCATATGTTGATTGAAAGTTGTGAAGGTATGCAAAGTAACCTGTAGGTCAACTTTAAACCAACATAAATACATAACAATAGCTTTAGAAAAGCAGCATACAACAGAGGGTGTGGCTTTGTTATTTCCTTGATCGTGTAATCTAAGACTTCAAAAGAGCTTAGTGACTTAGCTTAGTGTCTGGCAATGTGGCAATAAGAATAATTGTCTTGATGCCAAAAAGAGCCCAACAGATTTTACTTTCACAAGTGTAGCAGTATGGCAATTGCCATATTGCTACACTTGTTTCATGCATATAAATTGCTTTATTATAATTATGTAGGGAGTTTTACAGTTTAGATGGACACTGCAATGTAAATAGAGCAGAAAAACAGAAGAAGAAAAAAAAGGAAAAAAGAAAAAAATGATGAAAGAAAGAAGAGATAGAAAGGAGACAATGACAAAACATTTTCAGTCTGCTTCATCACCTGTAACGAGATGAAAAAAAGAACAGCACAACCGAAAGACACGGTACGAGATATACAATAAAGCAACACCTTGAAACTATCGCTAAAGTAATATTATTAAGTCTGACATGTACTAGAGAGCTGAAGAGGCGCACCCCCCAGAGCACTGAGTCCAGCGCCGGGAGACCCAAAGCCCCAGGCGCCCAAAGGGACCCCAAGAGCGAAGGCACCAAGGAGGGGCCAGCCCTGGAAACCAGACCCCCACCAAGGGAGGAGGAGAGACAGCCACGAAGAAGCCCCCCAGCCACCGCCATGCCGGCGCCCCGGGGAGCCGCGGGCTCCGCCAGCAGCCGGCCTCCCTGAAGTAGGGCCGGGCACCGAACACCGGCCCCCCGACGGCACCGACCGAGAAGCCCCGGCCCCACAGAGCACCGAAACACGCCCCGCCCCCCGGCACCAAGCCTCGGCGACCGGTCGCAACACCTAACGCCCAATTATAAAAAGATAAAATGTGAGTGTGCTAAGTTTCAGTGTTGATGAGCAAAAGACGAGATGCAGAAAATGTTTACAAGCCAAGCAGTAACATTAACTCCAACAAACAAGCAAAGCTGCCACTGCATACTGACATAAATCTGAAAGCGACTCCGTTAAAGAGCAGCGGGAGCAGATGGAAACAATGACAGGGAAATTAATTGGACTTTTCCCGCTAGTCATCAGACTGCCTGCGCCTGTGAAGCAACGCGCTCATCAGCATGATCTATGGTAATTACCATGGACAGCTCCCGCTTCTCTGACAGCCCCTAGACCAGCACCTTGGACAGCGATCACATCCAAGATCTGCCTACATATATTGTGGACACAAAGGAGCACCACAGTTTTATGGAAATCCCCTTCACAGATTTTAATGCTCAGGATTTTATGATGCTGCAGGCTTTAGGCTTCCTTATCAGTTCTCTGCTGA